GTGTGTACTTTAAGAATTTCTGCTTAATCAATCCTTTTGTGGTTCTTACAGATTTGCCTTGAAATTTTTTTTTTTTTTCTCCAGTAGGAGCCAGAGAACCTGTAACTCATTCTAAGGATAGGATGGATTTAGGAGCCTCATCACTGCTTTCGGAGCCCCTAGTATGCTGTTGCGTGATACTTTCGGCTCATTTTGATTTTTGTTTATTTATTTTTTCTTGAACAATGATATTTCTAAGGCTTAATAGAAGGCTCTGTGGATGGGCATGGGAGCAAGTGCAGCCATTTTTCAGGATTGGGGAAGAAAAAAAAAAAAGAGAGAGGAGCTTGTGTTCAAACTCCCCTGGAGAGTAGGCCTGAAAAGACTCTAGTCGAAGTCCAAGGGAACAGAGAGAAAATAAGAATAAAATTTCAAGCTGAAGTTCAGTAGACTTTAAAGAGCAAGAAGGAGTTGAAAAAGTCTCCAGAAAATAAATCTGGGTAAAGAACCTGTTCAGAGTCTCTCCCCTGCTCAGTTGCGAAATTCATGCAGAGAGCAGAGTGGACACCAGTTTCTATAAAGTTCCCTGTCACCAGATTGCAGGTCTGGAAGGACTTTTTCCCAGATTTTTGGTAACTTGAAGAAATGAAGAACACACACAGAAAAGGCTGTGAACGTGCACATTTATTTAAGGCAGAAAGGAAATATGCTCTATAAGGCAGGAGGAGGTCCATGGGTGAACAGACTCGCAGGGCCCTGAGAAGAAAGGAAAGGGACCTCTGTATCCACACTTCCTGGATTGGCTTCTCCCATAGGCAGTTAGGCATTGGGACATTTGTCCTGTCAAAAACTCACTTGGCCTGGAGCCAGATTTAAACTTCTCCATCTAAAGATTTAGTTAGCTGCCTGCCAGATGTACATGAAGGATTTAAAATATCACTTCTGATTGGCCCTGAAAACAATGCCAGATTGAAATGAGGGATTGAAAATATTACTTTCTGATCAGTTCTGTATACAACTCTCAGGACCCTTGGAGTCATCGTGGGTCCTGTGTTCTACACATTTGCTCTGGCTTTTTGTTTCTGTTTTTTTGTTTGTTTGTTTTTTTGTTTTTTGGACACATTCTACCCAGTTAATTGACCACTTTGCCCCAGCCCTAATCATCTACCTTACCCCCCACATTACTACTAATCTACTAATAAGCTAATAATCAAATACACACAAAGCAAAAAAAAAAAAATCCCCCAAGTATCTGTTACTTCATCTCAGTAAATGCCATCATTCTTCCTGGAGATGAAATCAGAAACGCAGGCATAGTTAAGATACATCCTTGAAAGCAACATTCTATGACTTTTTTCCTGATAAAAATAACTAAGAATTCTGATACGTCACTGTGTGAAAGTCTAGCTACCACTTCAGAGATGGGGGAGGGTGGCATAAGCTTAGCAATTATTTAAAGACTTTCTGTGTTGTGAAGGAAGCTCCTTGAAACAATTTAAGAGGAGACTGTGTGGGAGGTGGGTCATCTCACTGCTCAGGGCCTCAGCTGAGGACTCAGAAACATGGAACTGCAACTGGGAAGGAGTTGTGAGACAGATAAGAGAGCCCAGAACTTTCTGAGTAATTATAAACATTTCAGAAGACCTAGCATAAGTTACACATTCATAAACGTTTGGTTTTTAAAAATATATGGAACTACAAATGATCACTTTGAATGACTCAAATTTTACAAAAATGTAGGAATTTTGGTATACTACATGATTTGTTACATTTTGCACTATTTTTAAATACATTATTCCCATTTATGAAAGACAAACAGGTTTTTTTTGACAAAGTTAGGTTTGAAGTACTTACATTTACAATTAATACACTTTCCAAAACTGTTCCTTTCTAATATAAATTCAAGATTCATACTATGTTCTTAGTTAAATGTAAATATTTAAAAGAATCAATCCATTTAAAGGGAGAGAGGACAAGATGAAATAAAATTCTCTTTCTCATTCTAAATCCTGAAGTTTATGTATTAAATAAACCATGGAATTAAATAAGTCATGGTTCAGCTGATTGAGATTTTTGTAACTCTTGAATTTTAAAAATTGTTGCACTAATGGGCTTAGGCTTAAAAAAGGATATTCATTTGACTTCTAGAAAGCTATCAGTTAATCTTTAAATTTATTTTACACTTCAGATTCATGAATCCATTATTCATAAAGATAACAGCAATACATTTACTTATCTAGAATGTAGCCAAGAACTGGCAAGTAAGTGAAAACAAAACAAAAATGTGAGTGGTCAAAATTATACCACATAGTGCTGGCTCTTCTCAATTACAGGAAGCCTCACGAGGCATTAGCTAACCAGGCTGACAACCTTCAGTGATGGAGAATGAAGATAAAGCAACGCTTCTCTGAAGATATATTCTAGTAAAAGAAGTTATGTGCCCCAGAATAAAGCTCACACTAGTTAAATGGAAACCTTAGTTCAAAGAATTATGTCTCTCATTCCAAGTGTTTGGTCTGATTGCATTTTGTTCAAATATCTATTGTCATTTTTTTCTTAACATTTACATATTTTAATGACTGCCTAAGAAATTATCCAAATAAACCTCCATTCTATTATATGTAATTATTTCATTTTTCTATTCTCAGTGTCAAAGTGCCTAGGGTACTTTTCAATTTTTTAATCCCATTTTTAATCAAAGTTTACATTGATTAAAAGAAGTTGAAACATTTTAATGAAACACGTCTTCGCAGAAGCATGATGCTCTAGTGGGAACTGTCTACACCGATTAGCTCGG